TATTATATGCTAACTGGTTTTTCTTAATTAAAAGAATTAAAATTACTTATAATATTTATATATAAAAATTAGATAAAAAGATTATCTCAATAACAACAAATTAATTTAAATAAATAATAAAATAAAAAATATTTATCTATCTTAAAAATAAAAAATAATAATCAATTTAAAATAAATTCAAAATCAAAATACAAAGGGCAGTGCTAAGGGCACTCGCCTCCTGCACTCTCCGGCCAACACTTCTATTTTTATTGGGCCACGTTATTTTGATTTAAGAGGTTGCGTTTCAAAACCCTAAAAAGGCAAGCTTACGTGGCCCAATGAAAGTGGAAGTGTTGGCCGGAGAGTGCAGGAGGCGAGCGCCCTTAGCACTGCTCTTATGTTAAAACTGAGAAAATATTTTGCTACTGCCTATCTCATTTCGCCACATAACCAAATTTTTTTAGCCGTAAGGGTTTGTTTTGTATGTAGCCCCCCGGCCGAAAGGATTCAGATAAATTACATAAAAAATATTTTCCATGTTTTTATAGTTTATTTAAAAATATATATATTTTTTAAATGAGCCCTTAAGGCATTTAAATTCTTTATGATATTAAAAAAGAAAAAAGAACATAGTTAGTCGTCTAGTACAGAAAAAAATGAAAACTAATTATTTATTAATCTGAATATAAAAAGTTTAATTTTTTTAAAATAAAATCTCAAATTAAAATTTTATTAATAAAAAATTAAACATTAAAAGAATTTATTTACTCGATTTTAAATTAATCGAAAAATTTAAAATGGTGATTAGATATCGATATATTAAAAAAGAAAAAGCCCCGAAGATCGTGTCACACTCTCACGGCATATGGATGCGCCCCACACGACCAAAAATAAAAGAAGGAAACACTCGGCCCAGTAGACACAGGCCGTTAGGCCCGTTGCACAGCCTTGAAAAAAATCCAACCGGCTATTGCCGGTTACAGAACCGTACGGCACATGGCACTATGGCAGGAGGCATGTCGCTCCCCCATGGCGGTTGGCATGCTATGCATTTATTGTGCTTTCTCTCTCTCTTTGCTCATCCTTCCTCCCATCTTCCTCTCTACTGATGACACTGTTGAGTTCACTGCTGAATTTCTACACATTGTCCCTCTGAGATCCAATACTAACCCCCCCTTCTCATTGACCCAAACATCCCGTGTATTGTTCATCACATTTCCCGTCTTTTTCAGGTACAACGTTGTTGGTTCTTTGAGTGCTCTTTTCTTCTGAATTTCTTGCTTCAGTGTAGTAGATATCATAGTCTTTTTGAGTAAAAAATTTTAGCTACAGTATTTATTGACTTATTGGGTTGGGAATGAGGGTTGATGATTGGTTCCTGCTCTGAAAAATGCAGGGGAAGTAGGAGAGGAAACGCCTTATAAACTTTGGAATTCCCCCCCTTTTTTTTTTCATTTTTGATATTTTCATCATCTTTTCTTTGTTGGGTGTATTTGAAAACAATTTTGATTGCTTTACTTATACGGTTTAACTTTTCTCAGCAAATAAAGTAGATGTTTTTGTGCAGTTTCTTTACTTGGGTATTGCTAAAATTCAGGTTTAGGTGCTTCATTTTCATTTTACCTTTTTCATGCTTTGATGAGCATCCAGTGAAGCTCTAGATCATTCAAGAACCAAGATCTCAATATTCGAATGCTTAAATTTTCGCTTGTTTTTCATATAGATCAGATTGAGTTTCATTTAATTGTAATCATCCCGAATCCGTGAAACAGTGATTAGATTCCTTCTACAATGCTATCCGCATTTAAGTCTTCCTCATAATATTCGTGTCAGTGATCAATCTCTCTCATGCAAATTCTAGCATTTCTTCTTTGTAAGTAACTTGTAAGCTGTAACTTTCCTCTCTTCTTTTTTTTTCAGGGTCTTAAACCAGAGCTGAGGATTTTCTTTTTACAGTACAAATTAAGGTGAGGATGAGTTGATTCTGGGGCACACGCAGTAAGCATCATGTTGATTTTAGTTGATGAATGATGGATTTTGGGAGTTTCGTCTGATTGGAGGTGTTTGTGTTGATAAAAATTGGGTCTTGGGTGGAATTTTTGTTGAGGAGATGTTGGGGCACGAACTTTGCTCTTCTCGGGTTCTCTTGCCTTTCCGGGAGGAAAGTGGTGATGAGGAGCTTTCAGTTCTTCCCAGGCACACCAAAGTTGTTGTCACTGGGAACAACAGAACAAAGTCTGTGCTGGTGGGCTTGCAAGGCGTGGTCAAGAAGGCTGTTGGCCTTGGTGGTTGGCATTGGCTCGTAAAAATCCTCCTTTTCTTCAGAATCATCAATCATCCTTTTTTGATCTTTTGAAATCATTTCTTAGGAATTCCACCTTAATCATTGAGAATCTTGTTACATGAATAATAATTTTGTCCAAGTTAATTAGTCAAATCACTGATTCATTGATAATGGTCTATTCTATTGTGTATCACAAGGTTCTGAAGAATGGAGCTGAAGTTAAGCTGCAAAGGAATGCATTGAGTGTGCTGGAACATCCCACCGGGAATGAAATAGACAAGGATCATGACTTTGATAACTCAAGCAGTGGATCTGAACTTGGCAAAAAGGATCAGGATTTTTGTAAGTGAAAGAACTTCCACAAACCCCCTTTTAAAAGATTGTTATGACCTGCTTGACCAGTGTTAATTCTGTGGACTGACTTGGAAGTGTGTTATGGTTTTTCCTTTTCCCATAATCAGCTAGTAGTATTGAATTCCACAGACCTAGCAAGCCAAGAGTTCGGCAAACGAGGCCATCAGTTCCATCTGCATCAGTAAAACCAATGAATCGCAGCAATTACAGAGATGTCCAATCCATTATTCATGCACCCCAACTGGTGAGTAATTTAAGTACATAGTTTTGGTCATTGGTTGTGTTGACATTTATTTCCAAATCACATACAACACGTATAAAATGGATTTGATCAAATAATTGTATATACATTAGAAGTGTTCCTTAAATTTTCCCTTGAAAATCATGCAGAAGGTAAACTTGGCAAGATTAGACACGGACGCATGCTGGAGATATTGCAGACACTTTCACATTGTAAGTAAATATAAGCACATGCATCAAATTTTCTTTACAACTTGTATAATATAGTTATTGAACTCAAAACTTTGAATTGCAGGGCGGTATCAAATCCGATTCATCAAGGGAACAACTAATCAACACCGTGCAGCGGCACTTTGCCACACAGGTTCTTCCCCCTCTCATTGGAAAAAAAAAACACACACACACACACATGCATGAGTGTGCATTACGCGTGAGTAATATCATTATCTGACACATCCTGTTTTAAAACAGCCACCATTGAACGAGGGACAAGTGATTTCAGAATTCATTGGTGCTGCCAAGAGACATAAAAGGGTTGACACACGCTTGGAGTGATGATCTCTTGAGGTTCAACACCATGTACAAGTAGATACGTAGTAAGCTCTAACCTTTAGATAAGATCTAATTACAGACTAATTGAGAAGGGTGGTTGATTGACGAACTCCGATCTCTTCCCCAGATCCTAACATTGTAATATATAACCGGTATATATATATATATATATCCTTATTAGATGCCTAACTTGTCACTACTATATCTATACCATCCCATAATTCATCCACGGAACTCTCCATTTCGTTTAAATGTTTTGAATTTTCTGAGATGCTTTCATTATAAGATGTTTATGGATGGATAGAAAACATGGTGGCATTTGGTGTTACAGGGATATGTGCAACAGTAATAATGTGCATTTTGGTACAGCAGTGTTCCCTGGCTATATCATTGGTTACATCAAGGGGTTTTGTTCACAAGAAGTTGCTCTGCTTTCATCATATGTTGGAAAAGACTTGCCGTATGTGATGTTCTTTGTGACTAAACTTGTTTTTTCGTTTGTGATTGCTCTTTGCCTCTCTATAGAAGGATAGAGTGCAAATGGCTGGTCAAATGGGTAACTGAATATCGTTAAAAAAATTTAATCAAATGGTTAGATATAAATAGTTATTGACAAATGGCTGGTCAAATGGGTAACTGAATATCGTTAAAAAAAATTAATCAAATGGTTAGATATAAACGATTATTGACAAATGGCTGGT